TTGTGTATAGCTATAGGAAGCCAAGAACAAATAGAAAAAAGAGATACAAGTTTGTTTTATCATGTGGCGTTAATTCTTATGCACAGACTGAGAGGCAATGGAATCTCTGAGTTTCATATATATTTATATTTTACACGCCATGGTGCCCCAGCCAGCCGTGATGACAGAAACCACAAGAGATTGAACTGATAACACTTAGGAATAATACTGGTTTCACTCTCAAGAACTGTACAAAGCAGAGTTCATCAATAATACTGTACTTAGTACAATATTAAACATTTCAGCACTCTTGGCAGCAGGAAAAATACAAGGGGCCTCAATTACACACTGTTGTTTTATGAGGTATCACAGGTCAAATGTGTTGAGAAACACTGAATAAATCCTTTACATTTGTTGTGTTTCTGATTCTTTAATGAATGAATGAAGCTTATGATATGTTTTTCATAGTTCGGTCTTAATTCTAATAGTAGCCATATATCAAAGTAGGGGAGTCAAAAGTCCAATAGTTCCCTCTGAAATGCCATAAAGCAGAAGTAAAAAAGGGCAGAAAATAGGAATATTCAAATAAAAGCAGCTCAAAGTTGTGCAGAACTTGAGTGAATGTACATAGTTACTTTTAACCACAACCTAATATAAATTCCACACAAATGCTCTGTTGTGTTAGTCTAATGTTTGCTTTCTCTTCAACACTGAGTCTATACAACAGTGTTGATCCGAGCCTTTGGGGAAGTTATGAACGGCGCCAACACACACAACTGAGAGCAAACATTACCAATTCCCAACAATTCATTTCAAAGGACTGAGGAAAACAACAGAGAGTCGATGTGACTCGCCCAGCCAAACATTGTTTTTCCACGGTACGCTAAGTGTCACCTTGACATGCAAATGAGATTCAAACCACTGCAAGATGATGAAATGAATTATGCTGCAATCACAAGCAAATGCTCTTTGTTGCATTTATATTGAAAGAACTTTGCTCCATTGGACCTTTATCTCTAGAATACATGCTTTAAAAGCGTGAACTGGCAAAAGCTTAGTGCTGATACACAGTGTGATTGACTTCCTGAAGTGTGGCGTTGTTAAATGTCAAAGGCCACAGTTTGGTTATTATTGACCACAGAAAAACATATTACACAATAACATGTGAGCTTGTGCTGCACTTTGTGTGTCTGTGTTGGGTGTGTGAGTGTGTGTGGGTGTTGATGTGTGGGCAGAAGCATAAAAGTGTAACCGAGGTGTCACCAGCAGCATATTTCCATTTAAAAGTGCAAGGCCTTAAAGTGCCAGAATGGAGTTTTATTTGGAAAACCTTCACACTGAGCCACGCTTGATGGACAGTGTGACTCTTTCTCACACACTTGCACACAGGCTAAACAGGCAATGTGTATTCAGTCTGTTTAAAATAAAGTGACAGCTACAGACTTTGTATGGAGAAGGCAAAGAGAACTAGCGGCACGATTAAAACACACAAACACACACACCCAATGACAGTCTGAACCTGAATCTCATGCAGGGACTGGTTTAGACAAAAAGCAGGTTGTGCTGTAAGTGCAGAAACCAATGGTGACTCACTAGTACCATCACACTTCCCACTAAATCACACTAAATGCACGTTTTTTCGGTAGAATATCAAGAATGTGTGCTTCTGAAAGGTATTAAACTGCTCTATTTGAATGTTCAACAAGACTCAGACTTCTCGGCCCACGACTAAAAAGTCTTGAATGTCAAATAAATGTTCACCCTCAGAGTGTATTGAAGTAAAGGCCGATCCTTCAACACTTGTCTGTTTGCTGAAGGAGGGACGCAGAGTCATAAAGGTCAGGCATTACAGCACCAAACCATGACCTGACATTTAACACGCACATTAATTTCTATTATTTTTAATGACATGTACACTTAATCGTACAATATGTAGTTTTCTAACAAACTTAAAAGGGGCCCATAGGAGTGTTTCATTGCAGTCAGCTCCCCCTCTAAAAAAATATCTCATAATCATTGTTCAGGATATTTTTGCAAGCAGCCGAATTATTCTCCTCTCTGAAACAAACTGACCAGGGGAAGAAACTGGTATAAACAGAAGTATAAAAAAGCAGTTTAACTTTCTGTTTTCAGTGTTTTGTTAGTAAAGGCACATAGCTCAAGGCTAACGCTTGTTTGGCTTGTTTCTCTCAAAATGTGGTAAAAGTGTGGCCTGTAACTGGATTAAAAGTTAATGTTTTAAAGCTACTGGCAGAATGCGGAGAAGTGCAGAAGACTTGATTAAAATTAAGAATTTATCCATTACAAATTTTAAGAAACATTTGGTATAATGTAAGTATTATATTCAACAACATATTTAACATAAGTATAGTCATTATTGATATAAAAGTAAATGACTGTTTTCAAAATAGTGATTATTGAGGCTGTGATTCTTATTAACAATTTGTACCATGTGCCCTTTAAGATAATCTGCTGTAAACAAAATGACGTGTCATGTTTCCTCACAGCAAAGGTCATCAAGCTTTCAGTGGCTTCTTCATGTTGTCTTAACAGCGCCGGGGATCATTAAGGTGATGTGAGAGGCTCTGATAAGCCATTAAACATAAGCAGGGATAATGTGATTTCAATGGGGACAATCACATTTCCTCAAAGATTATCCTGCGCTCTCTAGCAAGGATCTCACAGTTGTTTAATCTTTCACCGGACATAATCTTAAGCAACAAGAGGAGAGTATCACTCTGACAACTGAAATATCCCAGATCTCAAACAGCATACCTAAGAGCAGAACAGATACAAAAATAACTTAGTAGAAGTGACTAATCCCCAATACTGCTGAACTCACTTGTAAAACATGCTTTTTATGGGACTTAAAACATCAATCAAGCTAACAAATACTAACACTGTAATTGGCTCCCCTCTGCAGTCAGAGGTCCCTGTGGTCCTCTGAGAGGAAGTAGTTTGCTGACTGCTGTTTATCAGATGCTGTGCTTCACTGTTTTCAAATCATCAACTTTTTACTGTAACTGGATCATTATAGGGGGATGCAGACATCCTTTCCTGCCCCACCATGCAAACAATTCACTTTTACTACATTACATTGAAACTTGTTTACATCACAGATTATTCATTTGCAATTACTGACGCCTCTCTGCCACAAAAATATTACTTTGGTTAATATACATTAAAGATTTAAATAGTGCACTTTTCTAGAAATCTTTTGAACTTGTGTGATTGTCATATTTTCTTCAACACTGGTTGAGCATGCATATGACAATAATTAGCACACACTTGTCCTAGGATGCTCCAGACATTTGCTGTAGTTTATTCAAAAATGTAATCACCTATACATTTTTGTATTCATTTATACAAGGAGGCAACAGATTGTATCGAATTATGTTCTACACTTTAACTAGGACAAACCATAAACTAGAGTGGCATGATTCGCTGGAAAACCTTTACTGGGGAACCCCTTTAATGGCCCTCTTAAAGTCTTGATATATATCTTTATGTGTTTGCAGTTGCCTCACCTCTCCAGAGTCCCCCAGATGCTCTAAAGTGATGATGCCTTTGCTTTTGCTCTCGTTGTCGCTGAGTATATCATCCTCGGACTCCACCAGAGAAGAGCCTGTGGAGGAGATGGAGGAGTTGGACAGTTTCCTGCGCAGGGTTCCGTCCACATCCTCATCCCAGTCCTCCTGCTGCATCTCCCTGGAGGAGCCGCCTCCCTCCGGGGTGATGGTGACCTGCGGTACCCGGGGAGAGTCCATCACAGCCGGCGCTCTGCCTGAGGACGACTCGGTGATTTGAGCGGCTCTCTGAACGAGATCATCGCAAATCTGTTGTGCCTTCCCGGCTGCCCTTCGCTCTGAACGCGACCCCTCTGTAAATGAAGTCCCAGAAAGACCGAAGTCCTTGGAGCTCTTCCTCCTGCACTCTTTGGGCATTGGAGACCTGAAGCACTTCAACCTTCAAATCTGGTCATTTCACTTTCCCGAAAGTTCAGTATTAGTTGTATTCAGTCGATCCTCAGAGATACTTCCTCGTGTTTGTTGTCCTTTGTCACACATTAAAACAACTCTCTGATAGCCTCTCTGCTCTGCGCGTGATGTTGGAAAGGGGAACCCCTCTCTGCTGGTGGCTTGGCTCGCGCGTTTACGCGGTTAAACACTCACGCGCACCGGCGCACTACACAACCGTAGAAGGATTATTATCTTCCGCAATGCCTCTCCGCTTCCTGACTGTAGAGTTAAACCAGCTGACAGGTTCAGTCTTGTAAAGGTAAACACATTTTTTCCCTTGAGCATGAAAATAGGCTTCTACATTAATCTCACTCTAACGGGAATATGCCTTTAAATCACAATGATATTAATATACCTTCAGATTAAAAGGCAGTAGTTTAACAAGCAGCCACACAGGCATTATCATATAAAACATGTTTTACAGTAGTTGCTTCTTCACATTTTACACAAATACATGAATCCTACCTGCATAAACACATGTTCAAAATCTTCAATCTATATTTTTACTAAATGGTGTCATTTATTTAAAATAAAAATATTTCTCCCTCCTAAATGGCCACTAGAGGGCGAGCTTTATGAAACCTAGATTAATTTCTTTAAAGATTGAACAACTCAATGATCTTTAATTGACTGGTTTCCTTTGTTGTATTTCGGGCCTTGTAGACTTTACAGCTACAGTACACTAGGGAAATTGGCTAAATGGAAGTTAAATAATGTAATTCTTCTTCTTCTTCTGGGGCCAAAAGGATTTCACTTGTAAACACTACATTTTTGGAATAAATTATTTGAATTATTTTTTATTCCTCTGTGTGAAATTGCCATTATGAAGAGAAAGACCAAAACATTAATATCTTTTCAAACTTTTGATCAGAATTGCATTTGCCAAGTTATTTTGAGTGGGCCCTGAGCAAACAAGTGATGTTACGTTTAGGTGAGGTGGGAGGGGTAAGGCGGGGTTTATAAAGGGTGGGCCCTGAAGTTAAAGTCAGTCAAAGAGTGATAATGGATGGAAAAGAGGATGGAGTTGCGGCCATGGCAGCCACCTACCAAGGCTTTGACCCTGCGGCCTATCTGCAGTACAACTACACTCCACCAGGGGCTGACTTTGAGAATAAGGACAGCGTTTTGCTCTGGAAAATGGGATGCCTGCACAGAGCTTTCACTGAAGGTGAGACAAAGGGGTTACAAAGATGCTTCAAATATGTGCAGAATAGAAAATGCATATATAGGCCTTTTGTGTGTTAGTGTTAAAGCATCACACGAATATGTTTGCAAGTTTTGTGTCCTCTTTCAAAAATCATGTTTGGGACTTGGATGTCTTACTCCACCATTCCAATGAGCCATTTATTCCTATTTATTAAAAAATATGGAAGCAGACTCTTGAAACTTGTAGAGGTAATCAATCAAAAGTAAAGTTTTAAGTCGGCTTTGTGTTTATCAGTGTTATATATTTTAAAATTGAATGCTTAGGCAGTTTAATTGGTCTGCTCTGCTTTAAGTGGAGTAGGTTAATATGTGAAAAAAAAACATTCTGTTGTAAAATGAGAGGCGAGATTTAACCAGATGTTAGACGCATACCTAAAGAATCCCTGTAGAGTAAATATGTGAAATGGAATTACTGTTGTAAATTAAAATGTGTTTATGCAGGTTCACAAGGGGGCCCGGAGCAAAATTGAGTTGTAAGCCCCTGTTAACCCCCAGGGCTTGTTGCACTATTTGTATATATCCACCAATCAGCTACAGTTCACCCAAGAGAATATATATGACAAGCCTAGAGCTCTGTACACATAAACCTTGCCATGCCCTCTCCAACAGTATAAACACATAGCAGAGAAACTAACAAAGGTGTTTTTGTGTGACAAAACCTGGACAAAAACCCAACTCTGTCACCAACGTTGCCAAGTTGGTAATCCAGCCTTGCTGACTTTAGCTTTGAGAAAGGTGTGATTGTTGGGTGTGCTAAAACGAATATGTTGGTTAATGCAAATATTTGAAGAATGGACATGTTTTCAGGTCAAGTTTGTTTAAAATCTGAGATGTGAGATTTAGGGAACGCCTTTAGAAGGATGCTTGGATTAGTGATGAGAAATAACACCTTTAAGATAAATGAATAAGAGTTCTCCCTAATTGAATCTAAAGTTTGGTGGCTTCACCTCCTTCTCCTCTTTATGTGTCCTCCCAGGTGATGTGAGTGGTGAGCTGCTGGTGGACATCGGGTCAGGTTCTACCCTGTACCAGGTTATGAGTGGCTGTGAAATTTTCAACAAAGTGATCCTTACCGACTTCCTAGAGGTCAACCAACAGGAGCTGAAGCGCTGGCTCAGGAACGCAGAGGACAGCGCCCTGGACTGGACTCCATTCCTGAAGCATGCCTGCATGCTGGAAGGCCGACAGTATGAATTTTTCCTCCCTAACTTTTGTGTAATATTGCAAAACATGATGTGATATTCATTCAGTATTATACCGTTACATATTTTTCAGTGTTTGATTTAGTGATTTATCAGGCCCTCAGCGTGGACAGAGAAAGCTGCTCGGCTGCGTTCAGTTGTCTCGGACGTTCTCTATGTTGAACGTGCACAGCCCTGGCCCCCCCACAGACTGGCCCAGGTGTGTGCCAGTCTGAAGAAGATGGGCTTCACTCTGATCAGGCTGGAGGTTTACACGCTGCCTCAGGACATGCGGGTGGGGGTGGACGACGTTTCTGGCGTGTTTTTTGCAAAGGCAATGAAGGATTAAAGAGAGAGTTAAGTGGCAAAATGTAATAATAGGAAATTTAAGATTTTACTATCTTATTTTAAACTTAAATAATCTGAAATGATTCAATCAATGTCCTTTATTATTGGAAGTGTTTTAAATGCTTGGTGGTATAAGTTTGTCCTGTATTATTGTGTTCACAATAAATGTCACTATTATCCTATGTCTCAAGTCTCACTTCAATTCTGACACTTAATGTATACCCGAGGTTGAAACCACTGGAACACATTCAGTTCCTTTTCTTTTCAATCACTTTTCGGTACTGAAGTTAAATAAAATACAAATGTATTTAAAATAATTGTACTAGCCTACCTATCAAGTGTGGTGCCAGGAAGTAATTACAACATGGAGAAAACTGAAGTTACATTTGAGTGGGAAGAGAATAATTGAAAGAGAAGGTTATTCATACATACATTGGGAGACACATAATAAAGTACAACTAATTGAAATATAAATAAATTAAATATACTTTACTTTATTTTCTCCACTCGATGTAAAGTACCCCAGTCCAGCAGGGGGCGTTAATGCGCCAATACACTGGTTTACCAAGCGCCAACAAACGGAAAGAAAAAGACGGTTGTGGTGACAGCAGAGTGAGACCTCTCAGGAGAAGCTAGTCCACGGTCAGACAAGGTGTAAAGTTGGTGTTTCTTGTTCTATCCTTGTATCTGTCAGTCTGCGAGCAGCACCATGTTTGCCGTCAGAAACGCTCTCCGCCTCGGCTCCAGGCTGTCCGTCCCCGCGGTAGCGAGGAGAGGCTGCTCCGGGGCTGCCATCCCGGTGGATGATGTGGTGAACGGGCTCACCGACGACCAGATACAGGTTAGCTAACTTGACACACAAAGTTCACTTATCAGCTGGCTGAAAAAGAAAAAAACAGTCACATTATCACACAACTAAAGTATGTTTTATGAAGTTTAACAGTCAACAGTGAAGGGTTTAAGGACGTTACGCATATGAGGTGATGACATAACATAACATTAGCAGTTAAGGAGACCTTCATATTAGCCGACCCTGCTAAGCTAACCACCTAGCAAACAGATGTTTCACACTAAACATCAACCTAATATTAGTCTGAATTATTTTTGTTTTGCACTTGTATAATCGCTTCAGCAAGTGGCCCTTTCAAAGTGCATTTGTTTAAGCGTAACCAGCTTTATTTACCAATATTCGCCTTGCTAGCCACCAGCTAAGTTCTCCTAGGGAAAGTTGGTGAAAGGTGAACGGCTCATTGAAACATGCTTTCCAATCAAGAAATATCAACCCAACTAATGGGGACAGCAGGTTAGTAATGCTTTAAACTAAAAGAGAGAATCAGGGCATTAGCTGGTAGCAGAGCAGGGGGTGTGCTTCATATAAAGGATTTGATTGGGTAAGAGTGGCTCTCCTCCAGTCCTGAATATTATGAATAAACCTGAACAATCATTTAACCGATGTATGCATGATTGTGAGATGTCTTACCAAAGTGACATCAACAAGATTCGAGAAGAGTCAAAGGCTTTATTGTTATATGCACACTACGGTGTAGTTATGGCAATGACATAAAACAATACAAATAGTGCTTGAATAAATTGATTAGCAATAAAATAGTGCAAGATTATAAGTAATGCAGGAGAAGTGAACTGTATGTCAAATAAAATACTATAAGCTACATTTTGCAGATAATGTTGCAATTGACCAAGTAAATGCAGGAGTCTATATTTATGTAAATAGAGTAAGATAAACAAGTACATCATGTAAAATGAAGTACTGTACAGTGGAATAAATACTGCTTATTGTAATAATAAATAGATTTGTGAGATGCAAACAGATCAGTGCTAACAGCACACTTGATAAAGATATATAGCTAATCCATTTCTGCCATGAAATCAAATGACGGAGGAACATCAGAACACATGGCTGCTTTTTCATTATTCAGTGCCTTTTTAATAATGAATCATTTTAAAGTATTTTGTTCTTCTTGTTTGTTTGCACAGCTCAGGCATGCGGTTCGTAAATTCTGTGCAGAAAAGCTTGCACCTCAAGCTAACGAGATCGACAGGACAAATGAATTTCCAGGAATGCGGGTGAGTTGAATCACCACATCATACCTGTGGTTTTCTGAACGAGTTGAATTGCTAATAAAGTGGTGTGATGGTCATGAGTGTGAGCCAATTTACCATCTAACCTAGAGCAGGATTTCTGTTTTGGTAACAATTCGCATTGTCTCTCCTCCAGAAATTTTGGCTAGAAATGGGGGAGATGGGACTCCTTGGGATCACAGCTCCAGGTAAGACAGCTGAAGGAAAACACCATCAGTGATTTGAAGTAGTTGAATGACAGCTGGTGGAAAGTGGTCCTCTCTTTTTTTTGTTATGTTTAATATGAATGTATTCTCAACATCTCTTCTCAGAGGAATATGGAGGTACAGGGCTGGGATACCTCGATCATGTCATTGTGATGGAGGAAATGTCCCGAGTGTCAGCAGCCATTGCTCTCAGTTACGGCGCCCACTCTAATCTCTGCGTCAATCAGATGGTGCGCCACGGCAACGAGAAACAGAAGGAGAAATATATTCCAAAGGTCTGGACCAAAACAGCTCATGTTATACATAATAAACTGTTGAACTAAGATGGATTAAGTTCTTTGTGCTCATCATGGTGTTTTCCTGACAGTTAATGACAGGAGAGCACGTAGGAGCGCTTGCCATGAGTGAGCCCAACGCCGGCTCTGATGTCGTATCCATGAGACTCAAAGCGGAGAAAAAAGGTATGACAAACTCTGCATAAATGTTATTTCTATTATTTAGTTTTTTATTTTACATCATCTTAATTTGTAGTTCATATACTTCTAGTTATTATTTTATTTTTTTATATTCATCTGAATTATTTAAATCCTTATGCTGCTGCTACACCTGACACTTATCTTTTTAATTTAGTTAGTTTTTTATATACTTGTGCCTGTATACAGTAAAGGCTTGATTGTATGTTTAAACTATAATGTGTGCTTGATGGTCATTGAATAAATGCCTGAAATTTCAATTTTCTCCGAGATGAAAAGTCACTATCTGTTAATAATGTTGTTCTGTGAGGAGAGATTTTGTCACCATGATCGCATCCACGCACATTTCTGTCACAATAGTTCACAGATGTGTAGTCGAGCTCAAAAGGAAGGGCAAGTTTGAAGATGGCCCGATTCGGCCTGATCCCATTGCATTATGTTTGATTTTAAGTTTAATGATAGATTCGTGTTTGAACAGGTTTAACCAAATAGACTTGGATGCTTCCAGGATAAGAGAATAAATTATTGAGCTGTGGCCTAGCTTAAATCTTTAATGAGAAACTAATGATCAATTAACCACAACAACAGGTGCACTCACATCATCTCTTAACCTATGATTAACATCTCCAGATTTGATCATGCATCCAGACAAATGGTTTTAAACTCCAGTGTGATTTCCACTTATATATTTACTTTGTGTTTTTCTAACAGACGACTACTATATTCTGAATGGCAACAAGTTCTGGATCACAAATGGGCCCGATGCCGATGTCCTTATTGTTTATGCAAAGACAGATCCCAAGGCCCATCAAAAAGGCATCACAGCATTTATTGTTGAAAAGGTAAATCCAATTTAAGATGGATTCTTCTCCGTCTCAGGCTTTACTCGTGGCTCAGAGGACACTGTGGGTTTAAACTTTTGCAGTCAGTTCTGGGGATCAGTCTTGCATTTTATCAATTGATTATAATACAAAATAATGCAATAGTACATCACAGCAATTTAAAAAAAAGTTTGTACATGTTTTTTTAGGGAATGCCTGGATTCTCTACAGCACAGAAGCTTGACAAACTGGGCATGAGGGGCTCCAACACCTGTGAGCTGGTCTTTGAAGACTGCAAAATCCCAGGTGTGTGTTTAAGGGCCAACAGTGTAAAGCATAGCAGTTGTTTTTTTTAATACATGTTTTGGCTCACTGTATGATCCTTTAAACTGATAGTGTATGTTCATCTAACTTTGGATTTTCTATTTGTTTCCTCGTAGAGAATAACATCCTTGGTCCGTTGAACAAAGGGGTTTATGTGATGATGAGCGGCTTGGATCTGGAGAGGCTGGTGCTTTCAGCAGGGCCCATCGGGTAAGTTCATTTCAGAATTGATATTAAACTCTTCCGAAAATGAGGATGTATATCAAATTGTATTACCATCCCCGAGCTCATGCTGGAGTTCATCTTTGAGTCCTTGTGTGTATTCTTTTAGTCATGTTTGCTACTGTTTTATAGTGCTGTCTGTTATCTCTTTCACATATTCATTACCATCAGTAATTGCTTATCAGTCTGACCTTTTGGATTTGAATAGTAAATAAGATGTGATACACTTTTATTGATCCCCAGAGGGGGAATTGGATTGTTGCAGCAGCACAAGGACAGCAATAAATACAAATACAGCATAAATAAAAAAATTGACATAAAACTACAATATAAACACGAAGTAAATATCACACCAAATGACAGAACTACCAAGTCTATTACATACAAAATCTAGATTATCAATCAAATAAATCAATTGAAAACATCTTATTGTACATTTTTACATCTCTGTTAAAAGTTTATTGTGGTGAAAATGTGAATGTAAACACTGTTCACTTGTCAGTTGGCTTGTCTGCATTTGAAAAAAGCTACTGGCACATTTACTTTGCATGTTTGTGTGTCGTTAACATGAGCAGTCTTTACTTTTGATGTAACTGTTATTACTGTAGCGCATAGATAATTATTCTAAAGCGAGCATTGAAACACTATTTATTTTTTTCCAATTGCTTATCAAGTGCAATGTATTATTGCAAACAGAAAAGAAGTTGCTAAATATTCACACTAACCAACAACATGAATGCTGTTCAAACATTTAAATGGTAGCAGCAGTTAATGGAAACAGCGTGACATTCATATGTTTTCTGTTTTCTACCCTGCAGGTTCCATTATGTGAGCTGCTTTTCAATATCCTATTATGAGACTTGTTTGAATTATTCAGAAGACTTTAACAAATGTTTCACTTTCCAGCATCATGCAGGCCGTTTTGGACAACGCTGTTCCCTACCTGCACACCAGAGAAGCTTTCGGACAGAAGATCGGACACTTCCAGGTTTGACCATCAGACTTCTCTTTATACAAGAAAGTAGAGTTTGAATCGTGATTAGGCCTGTCGCGATAATCGATAAATTGACTTATCGTACGATAAATAAAAATGGACTCGATAACTTTTCTGAGCTCGATAAATTGCCGTTTACATAAAGATGTGACCAGCATTTTAGCCTGGAGCGCTGTGGCTGCCAGACGCGCTGTGAGGGGCGGGGCTGACACACAGCCAGGTCAGGACACTCCGCGTGCACGTGCAGCAGCGTAGCAGCCAAATTAATAATATAGCGACAAGCGGGAGACAACGTGTGACTTACTCGCGGGGAATTTAAAGTGAAATGGAATTGGTTACAAAACCTAACTACACATCTCGATTCTCCGGTGTGGCAGTATTTTGGATTCAAACCAAATCAACGAGGCGAACCTACGGACTTGAATGAGCCGGGCGGTGTGTCGCATTGGTTTAAAAAAGGTAGCGACAAAAGCAGGCAATACCACGCATTTTAAACCACCTAAAACACAACCACCCCATTCCGTTTTCCCAGCTGGGAGCAAACACGGCAGCTGGAGATGGAGAGCCCCCGCCCGACAATGCAAACATGTTGGTGTTCCTTGCTCGAAAACTGAGAAAAACAGATTTGGATATGGCCTGTTGAGGCATCTGGGTCTTTGACAGTGGACTGTACACTTGACTGTTGTTTTAAGGAGGTTTTTTTTGCTTGTGAGATAATGTGTGCTCATATTTATTTATTTATTTATTTATATATATATATGAGAGAGAGAGCTCTGTTTTCCAGCCTGACTCTATTTAATTTATTGTTTTGGTTGTTTTATTTATTAATTTATATATTTTAATATTATTTCACATTTCATTTGCAATGTTGAATGTTCAATAAAAAGTTATGTTTGAAAGGATGTACTTGAATTAAGGTGCCGACAATATTATCGTTTATCGCAATAATTTCCAGAAAAATGTATCGTCCAACACAATTAATTATCTTGACAGGCCTAGCTGTGAAGTCTCGAATACGTGCTCAGACACTAAAGGACCCCGAGAACGCGAAAATTGAGACTCTGAGGGTGGGAGACATGTCTGCGTAAATCTGCAGGGATGT